ACTGGTCGCAGTCCTCCTGGCACTTAACAGCATATACAACATTGCTCGGCAAAGTAAAACAATTAATTCACCCTGAAGATAAAAACTATAATTTTAACAGGGTAATATTTTAAGATAAACATTAACTCAAAAACTATTTATAAACATATTAAAATATCCCTGAAAGACGTGAGACTACATACTGTTCATTAGATTGGTTCACTGGGCGGGTTACGTCACACAGATTAACTTCACGTTAATTATTTGTAGCGACTAACTTTTTTTGTTTTTTGTTTTTCTATCACACGAGTTAAAAACAAGAAGAAGTTAACGTTAGCCAAAGTTAGCTTACCGTTCTGTCATCCCACTCTCTTTTTAAGCGTCATACTGCTGGATGGTCCGGTACAGAATTGGTACTTTTCCTTCGAGTTTGGTGTAGTCCATTATTAATGTTGTGTCGCAAATAAAACTAAACAAGATTTGCACGTTTAATTATGATGCTGCCGACATCGAGGCTGCTCTCAGCTCAACAGGGCCGGGTTTAAGGCCAGGCTGGGAGCAGAGGCGCCCTCTACTGGATGAAGTCAAAACTACACCGAAATAAGGTTTAAACAAATGTTTTCAATTAATCAAATGGAAAGAATTTTAATTTAGTAAACCATTATTCAACAATTAATCGTAAGTCGATTAATTGTTTAAAATAGGTTTGGTCTATTCAAGAGTTCAAACTTGTCTCACCAACACCAGGTTCAAATCCAGAGCAAAGGGCAGTGAAGAAGTCATTTAAACTAAAACTTTTATTTTATTACCAAAAACCCATCCTGGTTGGAGTTACGGTAGGYGTCTTACTGATCGCACTGCTCAACTCAGAAGTTGCAGAGGTTTATTCCWTCTCAGCGAAGACACACTGAAGGCTGGTGAGGACAGACAGTCTGTGCGCTGTTAGCATCAGGTACCAGTCACATAGGGACAAGATAAAAAAAAGAAACAGGTGACCAAAGCAATAACTATATTAACCCAGTGGATGTCCATTCTCTTGTCTGTCGCTCTCCCTGTGCCTCAGTGAAGCATCCTCCCATCGCCTGGTTCATTTGGACTCCGATCCGCCAATAAATTTCCTTTTTGATGTGTGTTAGGTTCAATAGGTTCTGCTTCCCAATAAACACACCGTCACGTGTCYCTGACTGCCTCCGTCCTGAAGAGCGACGTCCTGGTATCTTCCTCTGAGGACCAGACGAGGTTTGATGATGAGACCCACTCGTAGGGCTGCAGCCAACGATTATTTTAGTAATCGATTAATAYATCAATTATTCTGAAGATTAATCGAGTAATCAGATTTTTTAAAAATTGTCATGCTCTGCAGTAATTACTTAAGCTTATTTTATGAGAAATACAATTATTTGATATTGTGAAGGGATAATCTACACTTGCTGATGACCCTGCTGCAATCAAAGTAAAATTACAATACCATTTGTATTCATGCATTTTAAGCTCTGGTTACTTGTATTTATGTATGTGAGGTTTGAGGAGGCATTAATTAAAATAACTGTGTCATTGAATCATTTTTAACCATCTCAGAAAAATCYAAATGCTGTAAATTTATTATTATGGATCGGAGAACTGAAAGTCCTTTTTTTGTTGTTGTTTAAAAATTTAACAAGTAAAATGGGTAATATAAACATTTGGATGTTGCAGTTGAGTTTTGTAGAGTTCACTTGTTCATTGTAACAAAAAAAAAATCAATTTTTTAAGATGGAGATTAGGTTGGTGCAGGGTTCCCATTTAGGCAATAAAAGATTTAGTCTAGACTGCTTAGCTACAAACAAATATGACAGTAGTAATGAAGGCTAAAATCATAAAAAGCAGCAGCAAATAATTAAAAAAATACAACTTTCTTTTCTTTTTTCGACTTGGAGAAGGCGTTTGACCGTGTCCCTCGGGGACTCCTGTGGGGGGTACTCTGGGAGTATGGGGTACCAGGCCCATTGATACGGGCTGTTAGGTTCCTGTATGACCGGTGCCAGAGCTTGGTCCACATTGCTGGTAGTAAGTCTAAGAGTTGGACTCCATCAAGGTTGCCCTTTGTCATCGATTCTGTTCATAACTTTTATGGACAGAATTTCTAGGAGCAGCCAAGGTGTTGAGGGGATCCTTTTGTTGACCTTAGGATCACATCTCTGCTTTTTGCGGATGATGTGGTCCTATTGGCCTCATCAGATCCTGATCTCCAGCTCTCACTGAAGCAGTTCACAGCTGAGTGTGAAGCAGCCGGGATGAGGATCAGTGCCTCCAAATACCAGACCATGATCTTGAGCCGGAAAATGGTAGCGTGCCTTCTCCGGGTTGGGAAGGAGGTCCTGCCCCAAGTGGAGGAGTTTAAGTATCTCGGGGTCTTTTTCACGAATGAGGGAAGAATGGAGCGGGAGATCGACAGGCGGATTGGTGCTACATCTGCAGTGATGCGGGTGCTGTACCGGTCTGTCGTGGTGAACTGAGAGCTGAGTCAGAAGGCGAAGCTCTCGGTTTACCGGTCGGTCTACGTTCCTACCCTCTTCTATGGTCACGAGCTTTGGGTAGTGACCAAAAGAACGAGATCACGGATACAAGCGGCCAAAATGGGTTTCCTTTGCAGGGTGTCTGGGCTCTCCCTTAGAGATATGGTGAGAAGCTCAGTCATCCAGGAGGGACTCCTGGATGACTGGTCGCTGCTCCTCCACATCAAGAGGAGCCAGCTGAGGTGGTTCATCTGGTTAGGATGCCTCCTGGACGCCTCCCTGGTGAGGTCTTCCGGGTATGTCCCACTGGGAGACCCAGAGGAAGACCCAGGACACGCTGGAGGGACTATGTTTCTCAGCTGACCTGGGAACGCCTTGGGATTCCCCTGGATGAGCTGGCCCAAGTGGCTGGAGAGAGGGAAGTCTAGGTCTCTCTGCTTAGGCTGCTGCCCCCAAGACCCGACCTCGGATAAGAGGCAGAAAACAGATAGACGGACGGACGTTTTTTTAGCGCTTCATTTTGGCACTCTACGTCTTCCTTTAAAGCTAAATATAGTGCTTAGCAAGCATACATGAGACACGTCGACAGTGTAACTGTTAGCGGAAGCGCGAACGTCTTAGCATTGTGTAACATAAATAATATTCCGGCCGGACAAAAGTGCGCTAATTATAACAGTATGTATATTTTACGAAGCTTCGAGGCAGATAATTTGCCTCAAGGAGTTTTTGTAATCGAATTACTCAAATTATTAGAGGAATCGTTTCAGCCCTACCCACTTGTATGGGGGGACAGCGTCCCGGTGGATCAAAGTCCAGACTCAGTCCTCAGAATTTAAACTCTGTTGTGATTCAGCAGTCTTATTCTTCAGAGAAAGGCAAACAATATGCTAAATGGGTGTAGCTTTAAGCAGCGCACAGTGATCCAACATGCTGGTGATGTCACTGATTGAGCTCTATATAGTCTTTGTGTGTGGCCTGTTGTGCATCAGATCCATCCCCGCTCTGTGTGGTGCACGTGAAGGTGGTGTTTATGCCTGCAGCACACTTGGTGTCAGGATGATCATAATTAACACACCTCTACCTGTCAGCATCCACTCCACATTTTTAGTAAWGCGTGAGTGATTTTGTTGGATCTGCCTCAGAAATCCTCTTCGAACCAGGGTTTACTTTCAGACCTGATTTGCTTTACGGAGGTTTGGGTTTAATTGGGMAGCGGATCCTCAAAAGGTGCAACTCCCCTTCACTATAGCCCGTGTCCACCCTCCATTGGAGTGTTGTTCAGATTAGGATCTCTTCGAGTCACCTTGCTAATTGATTAATCCCATAAGCTTGTCCACCATATGTTGTTGGTCCTTTGGATCGCAGTTTGTCACCAGCTTTCCACAGGGGGGTCCTGGTTTTATCCTGAGGAGCAGACAGACAGAGCTCTGCTCAATGAAGTTCAATTCATTCATGACTGTAGCCATTAAAGGTTGCTCAGTATGAGGCTGTTCATCTCTTTGTTTAGAAAGCCTCCTGTCCTTTTTATTTTTTTATTTTGGGACTCATCTAAGCAGGAGTCTTCTTCCTGCAGATGCTGCTTGGACTTTTCAATCCTGCAGCCTGTTTGAGCCGTTAGTTTTGAGCAGATGCTGGAAAAACCTCTGGAAATTCACAGCTTGTCATTTCTGTAACAACATGTCTGTCTGT